CTCCAGCTCCCCCAAATGTAGGCCACCAGTTCATTTTTCCAGCAGATTTTTGCAGTCAATAATGGGGAAGGATTTAATTTTTTAATTACTCCCCTCTCACACATCTCCCTGGCAACCACAGCTGCTCCAGCCCTCACGGTTACGGATCCTGCTCCTCCAGTGAGAGTCACAGAGCACCAGATCTCCCCACTCCAGGATTATCTGGACCTCTCAGAAATCCCCAGCAGGACTCTGACACAGCCCCCAAGTTCCCTTTTCATCCAGTACAGAAAACCAGGCAGTTCATCACTCCAGGGTGAGGATAGAAAATCACTGCAAGGAGCTGGATGAGGGAATGCACCTGACACTGGGAAGAGAGGACAAACCCCACACTGCCCACTGGGAAGTCCCATTAAAAAAAAAAAAAAGGAAAACACCCCAAAAAGTCTTCCACTTTCCTGCAAGGGAGGTACAATTCCCATCCCAAGCTCCCTGCAGCCTCCATTCCAGCTGGCTGCAAAGGCACTGGAACAGAGTTCATTTGATTTCTCTAATCCATGGGATTTTCCCAATCACACATGAACCACCTTCAGCCCCCTGTGCCACCCCAGGGCATGGCAGCACCACGGACAGTTTGCAGGTTACTGCACTGCATCAGGTTTATTGCAGGCAAAGTGCAGCATCCATGGCATTCCTGAACCTTCCCAGTGCCCAAAACCATGGAGGAGAGTAAAGAAGTATTATTTAAAATCCGCTCAGCTGAGCACAGCTTTGTCAGAATTTCACCAAAGCCCAGGAAAAATTCCTCCAGCCCTGTGTCTCGGGATACTCCTGATAAAAATAGAGCCAGGAGCAATTTTTTTGCAATACTATGGACACAGAGTTAAGGTCGCCTGACCTTGCCCCCAAACTAACCCTCCACATTATCATAACAATTTCCTCTGGTCAAGATCCAGGCCAAATCCAAGCAGGGCTTGGGGAGGGGGGGGCACCAGCAGGAACACAAGCACAGCTGTGAAATTTGGCATTGCCCAAACAAGTGGCCTCTCAGGAGCCCAGAGCAAGGCAACAAGCAGCACACAGTAATTCCATGGCTGGAAAGCCTTGGAGCACTGCTGGAAGTGGTTAACAGCAAACAGGGGGCCAGGAATTAAATCTACTTTTGGGGACAAGTGAAGGACAACGAGGCACAGTCACTCCTGCCCAGGGAAGTGCCCTCTCTGGGGCACAGATGGGACCTGAGCAACAGTTCAACCTCCCCCTGAGCCCCAAAACCCCCCTGGCAAAGGGGGGATCCACAGGGATCCATCCAGGGCAGATTGTCTGGATCACACTCCCACACCCATCCTGGCAGGTATCCAAGGAATGAGGAGAAGGGAAATCATCTACAGGGTGGACCTTGGTTAATGGTTGGACTGGGTGATCTTAAAGGTCTTTTCCAACCTAAATGATCCTGTGGTTCCATGAGTTGTGACCAAACACCCTGAACTGGAAGCAGAGTCCTGGTTCCTGCTCAGGAGCTTTCCAGGCAAGGGCTGCTCTTCCCCCATCCTCCTGGGCACACACTTCCCAGGGAAAACATGCTCCATGGGGATGTTCTTCACTGAGGACAGCAGAGATTAAAGACCACAGAACAAAATCAAGGGCTGATTTACAACAGATCCTGCCTGGATCACACCATGGGCTCGGGAATGCTCAGGAATGCTCCTCAGCCCTGCATTAATGGTGCCTGGGCAGAGCTGATCTGAGCCTCCCCCTGCTCCCAGAGCTCCTGTTCCCTCACAAGCTCCTGTTTTCTAACAAACAGCCACGAGACTTTATTCCCCTCTCTGAACAACAACCCAAGCAGGATCACATCTTAGTTACTGGACTTTTTGAGTAAAATTCCCGACTCCCAACCGGGATTGATGCCCACGTGCTCTCTGATGTCCCTGTGCCCCACCTCTGTGGCTCTGCAGCACAACCACACACCAGCACCTTCCACAAACCACAACAGACCATCAAAGAGGAGAATTACAATCCCCAGTTTCCATCCTTAAAGGGAAAGGGAACATCATTTTCACTGGATGCCTCCCTGGGAACCACAGTATGAGCAGCTTTACACATGGCTGTAACTATGGCAAAGGAACAGACAACAAGCCTGTTGATTTAAACAGGAATTCTGGTTTTACTGTGTCCCATTCAGGGTTCATAATGTGTCTCTGGACAGACCCCAACTCTGGTGCCAGCTCAGGTCTTTAAATGAAGTTTGATATAAACCCATCACATTTACCGACTCCACCTCCTGTTGAACTGCCTCCTGCCATTTATCCCACTGGTCCCACATCATGAAAACCACAGGGAATGTTATTTAACCCCTTGTGGTCCCTCAGGTGACCCTGCATTATGGCCCCTCACTGAATTATCAGTGCAGGTTAAATCTCTGCAACCAAACCCCCCTGCCCACTGGTCCTGAGCTCATCTCAGAGTCCAACCCAAAACTCATGACCAGCTTCCTCTTCCCCCACTCCTCAGCCCAGGAGCCTGCCAAAAACTGTTTTCCATCAAGAAAAAGGAGAATTGCAATGGGTTTAAACTGAGGAGATGATGCTTCAAGCTGGTGCACCCTTCCTTAACCCAGCACAAAGCACAGTGTGTAAATAACGGGATCGAGCCACGTTTATAAGGGGCCTTCCAAAGATATTTGATCCCTGTCCATACACACACACACAGAAAACAAACTCCCCCAATGCACCTCCTGCTGCTGATGCACTGCTAACCACCCTGCAGGGACAGAAAGCATTCCTGTGCCCACCTGACTGCCAGTCAATAAATGGAATTTCGGGATCATCACACACATTTCATTTCTGAGGGGCCACACATGGATCACCAGCGACTCTCAGGCAAAGGTAAATAAATCCCTGTGCACATCCCACCAGTGTGAAACCATCACTGCACCCCTCAAACTGAGAGGGGAACTACAGAGACCACCTCCTCTACCCCCAGCACCCACAGACCCCATGAATTCCCAATGCCAGGCACCACATTCCCTCCAGCTCGTTATCCCAAACAGCTCCGTTATCCCCCCTTGGCAGAGCAGCCCCTGAGGGAAGCACAGGCTTTGTAGGACATCTTTGGGCAGCAGGATGTGCCCCATGGCACAGCAGATGTGATGGGAGAGCAGGATTTCTTCCCCTTTTTTATTTTTAAGACGGCCAGAAGTACTAATTGACAGTTCTACACACACAGCTCTGCTGCCACACTATGGAACTCCTGGTTATTGCTTCCCACACAACCCCGGGCAACGGGAGAGGTTGGACATGGAGCCTCTTGGAACTTTGTTCTCCAGAGCTTCAGGATTTGCTCGGCGAAGGTGCTGGAAGTCCCAGCCCAGACTGAACCGATTTTCAGTGATTACACCCCAAAACCCACCAGAGACCTGCAAAGGGGGGGGTGCCTTCCCTCCAGGTACATCCAGCACCGAGCCACTGATTGCAAAGTTGGCATCTTGCTCAGGCAAAAAGATCATTGCTGGGATGCCAGAATTGGAAAGGAAGAGCTATTGATCAGTGCCTCTGGTTCTGATGCAGAGAAAAAAAAAACCACATCTGAGCTCTAAAAAGCTCTTGCAGATCTTCTGCTCACAAAGAAAAACAACACAGAACATCAACCTCTGGGTGAAGGATCCAGAACAGAGAGCTCCAAACGCACAGAGAAGGGACCAGGGGCCTGAGAAGAAGAAAGGATTACATACTCTGCAAGGTACAGAGTGGAAGACCCAGCATGAATAAGCTCCAGACAGCTCAGAAGAAGAAAGGAAGCTCTAAACCCTTAAGAGAGTCGATCAGGAATTGAGGTATCTCCACATCAGTTTACTCGTGTGAGAAAAGCACAGCAGAAGCTGCTGGAATGCTTTTCCTCTGTGCACAGGTTCGTGGTGGAGACAGGGAAAATATTCACCACGGTAAATATTCACCCTTAATTAGGACTTGCAGGTTGTTTGGGTGGGTTTATAACCCTTTCCTAACACACTTCCAGCCAGCAGAACTGTTCAGCTCCACTGCAAGAGCGCTCGGGAGGAGCAGTTAATCCTCGTTCTCCATCCCCCTCGAAGGAGATCTACCTTACATAATAAAATCAGTGTTGCATTCCACACACAAAGTTTCCCCCCAGAAAAAAACCCACCCCCCTCGAAACCCGGGGAGCTTTCGTACCCATCACCACCAGCCACACATTCCTCCAGCCCCGGATACAGCAGACAAGAGACAACGTTCCTTGGAAACTCTTGGAAAATCGGGGCACTGCACAGCGTGGAGAGAAGGCACTGCCAAACACTCGGCTCTCCCACTCTTCCCCCTCCTACACACCCAGAAGGACAGTCCCTAAATATTTGCTGTTTACACCCGAAATAAAACTTCAGCCCTTGCATACGCTTTTGGGGATGGGAGACAGCAGCAAACTGCCCCCGAATCCGAGTCTTCTCCCGCTCTCCTTCCAGTCAATAGGTGCATGTTTCCTAAAACCCACCGTGCTGAGGCCAAAAAGCTCCTCTGCGAGAGATATTCAACTTGGAAGGCAGGAGGAAGAAGAGGAAAGTGCTTCCATCTTCATGCAAGGCATCCAAAAATCTATTTGATCAGGGTAGGGAAATACCGAATTAAGAGGCGAGGGAAAGGCAGAGGGGGGAAACCGTGCTGGCATTTCTCACAAGTCATCGTGCCCATCACACACACAGCAACTGTGCCCAAACGCGACCCACCGGGGAGATGGGCAACGAGATCACACAAAGCCACCTTTTATCACCCCATCGCCCGAATCCCGAAGGATGCTCGTGGGAACCGTCCAAAAGGGCTGAGGAAAATATCCTCGGTGCTGAACGCGCCAGGGAAGCATGTGCCGACACAGCAGTGTGTGCACACAGTGCCACACACCCCAACCCCCTCCCCGTGCCCCCAAAACAACGCTCCTTTCATTCAAGGAGCCGGGGGTAGGGGGGGGGGAACCAGCTCCCGAAGTTGCCGGGTTTCTCCGTGGCCACTTACCCGTCACGGATCCAGCCAGGAGCCCCACGGAGAGCAGCAGCACCCGGCTCCAGGCGCTCACCTCCACCGGCATCAGAGCCACGATTCCCAGTTTCCCCCAGTGCCTCCCGAAGCCGCAGCTGCATCCCGGCTGCTCCCATCCCCAGGAAGGTTGCATGTCAAAGGGCAGCAGGAATGGGGCGTGCTGCTGGGGGGTTGGTGGTTCTCGCTGCTGGGTTTTCCCCCCTTTTCCTTCCCCTTGGCGATTGGGATAGTCCTCGGCTCGGCTGGATGAAGAGGAGAAAGGAAAGAGGTGGGGGGGTGGAGGGGGAAAAAAAAAAAAAAAGCAGGTCAGGCTTGAGATTTCTTTTTTTTTTTTTTTCTCCTTAATTTTTTCAGCCCAGGCAAAAAAAAAAATCCCACCGCATGGAAGGCTCTGAGCTTCTGCAGCTGGAATGAACCAAGTGTGGCAGCAGCTCGGGGAGAGGAGAGGCGAGGAAAGGAGAGGAGAGGAGGGCTGGGGCTGGCGCGTCCCTCCCGGTGGCTGTCTCAGAGCCAGCTCCTCGGCAGCAGCACCACAACGCTCCTCGGGGGATTTATACTTCTTTATTAGCCACTTGATTAATCGTTCCCATAGCTTTGTCCTCTTCTAAACGCTGGGGAGGGGGGAAAAGAGAGGGGGTCGCGGTGAGGGGCCACCAAAGGGATCTGCGGTACCCCCCTCCCCCCCAAACCCAGCACCATCCTCCCCACCAGGACCAGAGCCCACAAATTAGGCTTTGGTGGCGTGTTTATTTTTATGTACTACAGGTTTCTTGCCGAGGAACCGGGTCCCCCAGCCCCCCATTTCACACGGAGTCTGGCACAGACACACACCCACCCACCCCCCAGAGCATCGCTGCCACCGAGACATCCGCGGGCACAGACCCCCCGCAAACAGCTTGAGGAGATCGACGCGATTTTGGGGACGAGGCGAATTTTGTTACGAACAGATCGCCAAAGAGCCCTGACCCCTCCCAGCCTGTGGCTTGTCCTCCCAGCAGCTGATGCTGGTGGGACTGGTCCAGGGGCACCGTGGAGGTGGGAAAGGCTGTGCCCCCTCCGCCGGGCTGGTGCTGCTGCCCTGGCAGGGCTGGCAGAGCCGGGTCTCTCCACCACCACCTCCCCTTGTTTGTGCTTGAGCATCTCCCGGTACCTCGGTGCCCGGAGCTGCAGGCAAGATGGGGAAGGGAGGGAGGGAGGGAGGGAGGAAGGAAGGAAGGAATGCAACCGGTTAACGCCACATTCGGGAACTTCATTATCGTGCTAATGATGCTCTCACATCGAGGGACGAGGCGAACGACTCGAACGCCACACCAAGAGCTCAAAATAAATAAATAAATAACCAAGAAAAAGACGCTCTGGAACAGTCGAGCATCCTCCCCCCTCCTCGGCAGCACCGACTCCGCGGCTCCCTGTGCGACAGGCTGGGAGCTGCCCCTCTCCCAAAGCCTCGCAGGGGTGTTTACCAGCCCCACATGCCCCTCTCCAGCCCTGTAGCCCCCGGTTTTCCCCCTCTCCTGCCCGCCCCTCTCTCCCCCGGGATGCGGGGCCGGGCCGGTGCCCCCGCCGGGGTCGGGCCGTTCTCTCTCCCCCCTCCCCCGATTCTCCCCTGGCCAAACCGGGGGCTCCGCTCGCCACCCACCCATCCCCCTGCTCCGGCTTTTGCGTTTGCTGCAGTTTCTTGCTGCAAAAAACCCCCCTTCTTCGCTCTCGTTCCGGCTGCCTTGAATGAGCTTATTTTGACAGCTAAAAACCAAATTATATCGAGGGCTCGCGAATCTGTCCCTCCACCCTCGGCTCAATCCTCCTTCTCTCTCCCTTTCCCTCCGTCCCCTCTGCATTTCAATCCTTCCACTGCCTACATCGTGAGCCGCTGCCAAGAGCCGAGGCAACCAAGGGCTGGCACATGAAAGAGTTGCTTTATGTCTGTTTAAGCTGCGGCTTCCATTCAAACAGCTCTGATTGTGCAAAAGGCACAGATCGGCGGAGAAAAGGCTCCCCCGGGGCAGGGGGACCGCACTCCACGGGCTGTCCCGCATCCAGCGATCCCCCCCCCCCGCCCCGGAGAGCCCCCAGCCCAATTTTGGCTGCAGCCGAAGATGTGCCTCGGTTGCTGCAGGGGCTGAGCCAGAGGCAGCCCCGCACCGAGAACGAGCCACAGGCATAATAATAAAGGCACTGAGGAGGCACAATCCCACTTTATTCCTGGGGAATCAAATCGTATCCATTTCAGAAATCCGGGGGTTCCTCGCTAATAAGTTTTCTTTCGCTTAAACCACCGAGATTTCAGGCGGAACTCTCCAAAAAAAAAAAAAATTAAAAAAAATTCCTGCCTTTATTCACAAAACAGACAGTTCTGAACAGAGCCCAAACCATCCCTGCGACCATCAGCGGTTCCAGCATCCCTAAAGGAAGGCTCTGGCTCTGCTTCCCAGCCCCGTTTCTAACCCCGAGCGCTCACTCCGCGTCCCACCTTGCCCAAAAAATCACCTCTTGGCTAACGAGAATTCCTGTTCTCCCGTGCGAACACCCACCGGGACACAAATCCTGCTCTGCAGTGCCACCCGCAGCCAGAGCCGGGCTGGGATGACTCTGCTGCCTCCAGCATTCCCTGCCTGACACATTCCTGCGGCTGCGATCCCACTTTTTCATCCTCCACTGACCACTGAGTCCCTCAACCCTCTCCAAAACCTGAGCTGTTTGTGATTCCTCCATCCCCGGGTCCCAGCTGTCACATCTCTGGATATTTGGAAGGAATTCCTCCCTGGGAGGGTGTGAGGCCCTGGCACAGGTTGCCCAGAGAAGCTGTGGCTGCCCCTGGATCCCTGGAAGTGTCCAGGGATGTTGCTGGAGCAACCTGGGATAGCAGGAGGTGTCCCTGCCCTTGGAATTAAATGGATTTTAATGTCCCTTCCAACTCCAACCCCGTGGGATCCAGTGATCACCTTTCCCAGGTGTAACCTGTTGGAACAAAGCCTGAGGGCACATCTGAGTGTCCCAAACAGGCAAATCATTCCTGCTTTTTTCCACTAAACCCGATTTTCTTTGGGAAAAAAAAAAAAGTGTGTCCCGTGAAATCCGACTACTTCAAATTCTGAAGCACCACCAGCAGCTGCTGCATTCGCTTTCCCCACAACATTTAAAGAAAAGCAACCAACAACACATCAAAATATTTACAGGAAGAAGCGAAAGCGGCGTCAAAGGAGCAAAATTGAAAATTAAAGTGTTATAAGGAAGCTACTGTAAACAGCTGATCTGCACAAAGGAGAGCTGGATTTAGCACAGGGAAAAAAAAAAAAATTATGCCAAATCGTGTTTCGCAGGACAAATAATGGGAAGAGAGGGAAGCTCTTGAGATTAATGGCAGAATATTAACTGGGTGCTCCTGAAATAGAAGAATTCAGAAATCCAGCTCCCAGTCAACAAACATCCACACGGGTCTGGTTCTGAAAGCCCAAACAAACCATCACACAGACCTGGGAAAGTGCAAACAGAGATTTCAGCTTTAAAAAGTCACATTTCCCTGCTGAGGTAAGGGATGGTTCTCCAGAGGAACCCAGGGAAGAACAGGAGGGGAAGGCACAGCCTGTGGAGCCACCAGAAACAGGAATTCCACTGGAAAACGGGGCAGAAAGTTGTTCCTGCCCTCAGAAATAGCCCAACAATGTTCTATTTTCACATCCACGGTATAAACCTGTTGAGGGTCTACTCAAGAGAACATCTATCTTCCTTAAAAACAGGGGGGAAGCAGCATCCTACTAATTATAGTGATCCTATGATTAGAGGTAATTGGATACATTTACAAATTAGAATTTCCTAATTTCAGCTGTTTATGAACCATGTGTGTGTCCATAGTGTGTGCACAGAGCAGCAGCCATTCCCTCCAGCTAAGAAGAGAAAATTGATAACACATTAAATTATTGCACGTGGAAGGAGCAAACTGGAATTTCAATGGGATTTTGGAACAGGGAAACACAACAGGCACTAATTGGGATTTGGAGCAGGTAACCATGACAGGCACTTACTTGGGTTTGCCCTAAAGGAGCATCAAATGGGGCAGTTTTGACAGCAACCATTCCAGAATTCCACAACTGACACCAACATTCCTTGAAGCATCTGGGAACAGCCAGAACCAATGGGGCACATCCAGAACTCCTGGTTAAGGTTCCTGGGCCATATTTATCAGTCTGCAGATGTCAAACACAGGGAACTTCTCCTCCTTTGCAATATCCTTGTCCCAGGCAGTTCTGAACTTTGGGCAAAGGTTCTTGTTTCATTCTCCCAGTTTTATTCAGGTAATTCCAGGTCCTGTGGGGCAGAGTTGAATGGCCCTACCAGGGAATTTAGCTGCCAGTTGCCAAGTTTGGGGCGCTGCAGAACTGCAGCCTGGAAAAGCAACAGGTATTTTAAACAGATTCTGCTCACAGGCAAAGCATGTCCTTGTGACTGCAACTGTCAGAAGGAAGGAAGAAAGGAAGAAATTGGTTGTTTATTAATACCTTTAACCTGGTTCTGTTTAACAGGAACTACTGGAACACTGAATAAAAAAAAAAAAGCAATTAAAGATAGTTCAGGTACTGCAGATTTTCTGCCATAGTATGACCAAGTCTGAGCTTCCCACCAGCTTCCATTTTTTTTCCAACCCTCCCAACCTTCCACAGCTCCAGGGAACAAAACAGACCCAAATTTTGTGAGGAGAGAGTAGAACACCCCCAGGTCTGCACTGAGGGGCACAACCTGGTAATATTCTGGCAGCTGATTTTTGATTTGTAGGGGAGGGGAAGAAACCAGGTCACTGTCCTGCTCAGTGGGATAGGGAGGGACAGCAAATCCTTCCCCCTGGATCTCCTTCCATGTAAAAAAACCACCCAAAAAATGGCTAGAGGCTCCTCAGAGCTCCATTAGCAGCAAGGGGAAGCAGGAATCTGGCAGTTGGATGCAATCCCCTGGAGCTTGACTGAATTCCTGGCTCAGGTTTTCAGTTCTGCCCCCGAGGAGCTGCAGTGACAAAACCTCAACTCCCTCCCCAGTGAGAGCCACGTGAAATTCTGAGTGAACCCAGTTTTCCCCTCTTGGTATTCAGAGAAAAACCTGCTATTTATCTCCTACAAGGACTTCATGTTTTCCCCAAAGAGAGCATTTCCATCTCCAGTAATCCCCTCTGATTTATGGGGTAAGAAACAGCTGGATGACAATTCACCTGAAATAAAGTTTTTTAGGATGACAGGACAAGAAGGGCCTTTTTTGGTTTTTTTTTTTGGTATTGGAAGATGGAGACAAATAATAAAAATGTGTTATTTATGACAAATGGCTGAGCTGTTTAAAATTTAGTGTAAGGGCAATAAAGATGGTTGATAGAAGAGCATCTCGGCCCCAGATTTCAGAGCCAGGAGCTTTATTTGGGTGTTCAAACACAAGCACATTTAGGAGCTGGGAGGTGCAGCTCCATGTGTGACACGTTCCTGCCTTATTACCTCAAACTCATGTTAATCCAGATGGCAAATCTGACTTTTTCCTATTAAAGATCAAGCCATAAAGCCTCGATGAGGAATCTG